GTGGCTAGTAAAGCAAGCAAAACGCTTACTTGCATCCATAGATGCTTCTCGGGTAAATCCCAGGATGTCATCCTCCCATTGTACTTTACCTTGGTGAGGCTGCAGCTGGAGTACTGCGTCCAACTTTGGGCTCCACAGTTCAAATAGGATGTGAAGCAGCTTGAAAGAGTGCAAAGGAGAGCCACGCGCATGACCAGAGGTCAAGAAAGCAGACCTTATGAAGAGAAGTTGAGAGTCATGGGACTCTTCAGCCTGCAAAAGCACAGGCTCAGGGGTGATCTGGTGGCCACCTATAAGTTTATCAGGGGTGCTTACCAGGATCTGGGGGAACGTCTGTTCACCAGAGCACCCCAAGGGATGTCAAGGTAGAACGGTCACAAACTCCCCTAAGACTGTTTCAGGCTGGATATAAGGAAGAACTTCTTTACTGTCCGACCCCCAAGGTTTGGAATAGACTGCCGCTGGAGGTAGTTCAAGCACCTACTCAGAACGCCTTCAAAAGATATCTGGATGTTTTTCTTTCTGGGATCCTATGATTTCTGCTGACTTCCTGCCCCTGGGGCAGGGGGCTGGACTCGATGATCTTCTAAGATCCCTTCCAGCCCTAATGTCTATGAAAGACTTTTACTTCTCTTCTGTTTTGTTATGGATAGGAGCATTAAGTTTTAGAAGTCTTGCTTAAGAACGTTATTGGGAGGAGCTATCAGTCAATTATGCTTCCTTAAAAGTTGGATATCGGTATCGGCCCCAAAAATCTCTATTAGTGCACCCCTAATATTATATAAAACTAGCAAATTGCCTGTCAAGAATGACGGGGGGAGGAGGAGGGGCAGGCAGGGATGGAGCCCTGCATCCGCCTTCCCCCTGCCACTCTGTGTGCAGCTGCGCTCCCTCCCCACTGCGTGGGTGAAGCGTCCGGCCCGTGCTCCACCACCCCTGCCCTGCTCTGTCTGCCTGCCTGCCCTCCCCACTCTCCTCCCTCCCTGCCTGCTGGCTCCCTGTCCCTGCTGGCTGTTATGGGCAGTGTCAGGGCTGGGTGGGTGGGAGGGAGGAAGCACTGCCACCCTGATTCACCCCTTAGCCCTCAGAGGGGGGGGTACCCCTGCTTCTCAGGGGAGGAGGCAGAGGTGGGTGGTGGGGAGGGAGCTGCTGCTGCTGCCTCGGGCAGGGAGGCATGGGGAAGCCCTGCTGGTCAGGCAGTCTAAGCCAGAGAGAAAGGAGATCCTGGCTGCCTGGCTCCTAGCAGAACAGCAGAGCTGGGGCAAGCAACTTAGAGCTTGGGAGTAGGGCAGGCCTGAGAACAGGGGCAGGTGAGCCTGTAGCCTAGAGGCAGGCCTAGGAATATGGGTGAGCCTGGGGCGGAGGGGCATAAAGAGAGGGCAGGATGTCAGCAGGGCCCAGAGAGGGGTCAAAGACTGAGTTGGGGTTGGTAGCCCTGTGGGCGGGTGTGTCAGCAGGGCCAGAGAGTCCAGAGATCTGGAGCAGCAAGAGGGACAAGTGTCAGCAGGGCCAAGGGATCCCAAAGATTTCAACTGGCCTAGGATTGGGGCCAGAGTCTAAGGTTGTGGGGGGAGGGCAAAATACATCCCACAAGCCAAATCCAGCCCACCAAATGATTGGATCCAGCCTGCGGGGGGCACCCACCAATTGATTGGATCAGGCTCTTGGCTGCCCCCATGGTGCTCCACTTGAGGTAGCTAGTGCTGTACTCCTATTTGCACGCACTGGCCCCAGTCTCAACCAGCGGGATTGCTTCCAGAGCAGCTGCAGTTACTCGGGTGCTGCTCAGCTCCTGTCGCCTATAGCGGTGGCTCCTCTTCCTGCTCCTGTTGTGCCACTGGGTGGGAAGGAAGTTTCAGCTGGGCCAGCTCCATCCCCAGAGTGCAGGGCTCCAGCTACCGGTTGCCGTCTCTCTACTCCGTCTGCCAGCCCACAGCAGCTTTTCAAAACTGCTGATGTGGCCATTGGGCCCAAATAATTGTTCACCCCTGGTCTAAGACGACCAAAGCTAAAGGACTACAGCCGTAGACCAAGGGGGCCAAGGAGGCCATAAACCAGGAGGGACGAGGACTGGGTTGGGAGCTCTTTTCCCAGGAAGGGCATGTATGTCATCTGTGAGGCACGGGAACGGGTATTGGGGAGGATGGAGCCCACATAACTGGTCCATAAGGTAGTGACTGTGGACACCTGTGGTCATGAGGAGGAGACCAGGTTTGGGAATCCCTGGGGCAGTTTCCCTTGTATCAAGGTATAACTGGCAAGTAAAGTGGAGATTGCCCAAGGAGAGTCACAGGATGGCAAGGGCTGAATGGCCACTCCTAGGACCAGCACTTGCTCACACCTAGCTATAGTTATATACTTTCAACAGTCAGTGCTTTCCCACAGTGTGCTTGACTTACTCACAGTGCAGTTGCTGAGTGGAACTCCATGGAGCTGCTGAAAAGTGCGTTGATATGCACATGCTGTGGTGGATCAGTAGTGGTAGCTGCTGCCTGCCACCAGAACTTCCAGCAATACTACCACAGAAGTTCCAGTTGCAGAGGCAAGTCCATTCGGACAGGGCCCTAGCCAGACTCCAGCTGTGATTTCTCTGACTCCCTGCTCTGTGATTGTTCTATGCGCTGTAATCCAATTAATTTCCGTTTGCAGGTGAACAGGACAGCAAGCAGCAGCTAGGGGCAGAGTGATGTAAAACAAGATAATAGGTACATGATTACAGCAGAATGGGGTTATTCCTTGGTGAAAAAGTAGAATGCCAGATACTTCACCAGAGTTCAGTCTGCCCTGACTGAGATGTAAGAGGTAGTGTTCATACCTCTTCACACTGTATTTTTTTAGACTGCAAAAGCTTGAATTGATTATACTTGGTTTTTATTTCAACTTCAAACAGTTTCATTTTTACATGAAAGATGAGATTGTGGAGCACAATTTAGTGCTGAAGGGTGAATTTCACAGGACAGACATTTGGAATAATGCAGCTGCAGATACTGTGAGCCTGTGTTATCAGAGGAGTTTTTGTCTTGGTTCTCTTAGGGTTGTGCAATCTTGAAAACTCTTGGAGAAGAGTGATCCATCCCCAAGGCAGATTAGGGGCTTAAATCGTATGATAATTTGGAGTTGGCATCCTAGGTACGGGGTACTGAACTATTTAGCACATCTGATTCTGTGTGTAAGTCCCTAGTATGTGGGATTGCTATTGGAAGGAGCAGAGAAGGCTCCCATCTACGTTCTCTGGAGTGGTCTTAAAATATATTTCTTACGGACCTAGTCTGCATTGATTAAGTTTGTGCCACTGTCTTCCTGCCCTTAGAGCAGCTACAGATCTTCAGTTTATCTCTGCATTGTCTATTTCTGCCCTCTGCTGGAATGTCTGGATTATAACAAATTATAGAGACATGGCTTCTATGTGTAGAAAAAGTAACTGGCAAATAAATAATGAATTTAGGATTCAATCAGTCCTATTCTGGAAGTTTGGGGCTGGAGGTAGCATCCTGCTATGGATTGTCATGAGGCAATGTGTGCAATACAAGAACACAAGTACAATTGGAGTACTGCGTGCAATTCTGGGCGCCGCAATTCAAGAGGGATGCGGATAACCTGGAGAGGGTGCAGAGAAGGGCCACTCATATGGTTAAGGGCCTGCAGACCAAGCCCTACAAGGAGAGACTAGAGAAACTGGACCTTTTCAGCCTCCGCAAGAGAAGGTTGAAAGGCGACCTTGTGGCTGCCTATAAGTTCATCACGGGGGCACAGAAGGGAATTGGTGAGTATTTATTCACCAAGGCGCCCCCGGGGGTTACAAGAAATAATGGCCACAAGCTAGCAGAGAGCAGATTTAGACTGGACATTAGGAAGAACTTCTTCACAGTTCGAGTGGCCAAGGTCTGGAACGGGCTCCCAAGGGAGGTGGTGCTCTCCCCTTTCCTGCCTATGCAGGGGGTCGGACTCGATGATCTATTGAGGTCCTTCCGACCCTAACATCTATGAATCTATGCTTCTAAAGGATATACAGTGTGACATATTCCTTTATCTTATCTGTCCCAGATGACTGACAAAGGACCATAGGTATTGAAGTTTATTTCTACCTTTTTTTTGGATGTCAGTCTGGTGTACTTGCCTGTTTAACACTCCTGATCATCTGTGCCCATTAACAGAAGCTCAGACACTTCCCTGAAACCAGCAGTTGTCTATTCTGGAAAATCGAGATCCAAAATCCATGCTACTGTATCCCCCTGAGACGGGAATACTTGAGTCCAGTGAGACCTTTGAAAGGATAGCTTTACAACAAAGCTGTGGAGATGCAGAGCCGTGTGGTTGTTAGTGCCATGACTGAATTTTAAGGCTTGATCACTTCTTCAGGGACAGGCAGGGTCTTCTGGTTGTGGGGCAGGGCTAGATGGGCCTTGCTGCTGGATCCTGCTGCCAGCTTCCCTTGGGTCCTACTGCTCCTGGCTCCTGTCATCTTTGACAGGCAGCCAGGAGCAAATAAATATTTAATTTTCTAATTTTTCTAGGGGCCCCGTGGGCTGGATATAATGGCCTGGCAGGCCAAATCTGGCCCCTGGGCCGTATTTTGCCCACTCCTGTTCCAAGGGCTGGGTCTATGGGGTGGGATTGCTTCTGATTTTCCCCTAGGGGCCATGTTTTTTATCATTGCGTATCATTAGGAAGGATTTGACTATATGATGACACAATTATTTTGAGGTGAGCAAAAAGAAAGCTAACAGCTCTAGCTCTCATCTCTTAAACCTGTAGAGTTTCTGTATGTCTGCCTGGTGGCTTAATTCTTCCTCCTTCCCCACCCTGCCACCACCATTTTAGCATTCAGGATCTGGCAATTTGGCTTTGTCCTCCTGTGTTCGTTCTGAAAAGACATGGACCAATCTGGATTATTACTGCCCATTACCTCTCTTTGTCCCCTTCACCTCCTTTTGTATTTAGAGTGTTTCTTAAGTCACTGATTGTTTCTCCCCTTCTCCCTCCTCTTTCTGTCTCACAGACTTTGAAGCGACTCATGGCAGATGAGGTAAGGATGGTTGCTTTCTTTTGCGTATACCTTTTTCCGCCTGCTGTAACTTTCTTGCACCTGGCTGTTTCCCAATAGCTTATCCAGTGTCCCGTGCATGCTGTGCCCCTAGACTCTGTTCTGTTCCTTACTAAGCAGCCCTAATTCTTGCTGGTGCAAGCCTGCTGCATGCATGTTGTTTCTTATGGGAGGCACCTGTAAGATTCTCTACCTTTGCTTTCCAAATATAGAATGTCATAGTCCCAGCTCTGTCCTCCCAAGCATTGGTATAGTTAATAGTAAAAGCATAACTAGCAAGTCTTGCACCCTGGGCAAAACCGTTTGGAGAGCAGGGGGCAGGAAGGGGTATCAATCTTACTTGCTGGGGGTGTGGTCTACCCACCTTTGATTGTTGCTGGTATTACAGAAGCGGTGCTGGACTGCTGTTGCCCAGCACAGATTCCCCAGGGGGCTGCCATTCTGGTGTGGTGCCCTCCCTAAGTCAGTGCCTGGGGCCGATGCTCCACTTGCATACCCCTTGTTGATTAATAGTCTTAGTGCTGTCATGTTTCTGGTGGATGGTGCTGCAAAACTGCTTCTGGGTTTCAGGATTTTGCTGATTCAGACTTCCCTGGGATGATGTTGAATTCGGGTGGCATCAGTAGTTGTGCCAGAAGATGTCAGTTTTTCCTCTGTTAGTGACAGTGCATGAATATCTAGAAAAGAGAGTAACCACTAACCTGGGCTGCAGGTTGTCAGTTACATGTGGTATTGGCAGATTTTGTCTGTATTTTAATCTTCACTCTTCAGTGTCCCTATTAATTGGCACTTGGTATGTTCCTGAAGCATGGGTTCAGGCCCCTTGGTATAAAGACTACCTCCTAAACAAGCTCTGTTTTCTCTCTGTTGCCAACAGTGCAAGTCTGAGAGTCTAGCTGGATTTTGAGATGGTATGCAGAGTTGCAGATGATCCATACATCTGGGTGGTGGGCAATGTATCCTGTTGAATTTGTTTTTTGTTTAATTTCACTCAGCTGGAACGATTGACCAGTATGAGGATAAAGAAGGAGAAGGAAAGGCCCAATGCATCTCATAGGAATTCGTCTGCCTCCTATATGGATGTTCAAAGCACAGGCCAGACGCTGCAGGAAATCCCTGATGAGGACGTGCTGGTACTCTTTGAGCAGATGCTGGTAAGTCAGTCAGCCATACATCCACCTTCTGTTCCTGCATGCCTTGCTCTCTAGACCAGGGGTTGGCACATTTTTTGGTAGTGGGAGTGAAGGGGGCAAAATGACCCAGCTCAGGTTGGAGATGGGTGGCTATTAGGACCCAGCTGCTGCTCCCCTTTCTCCCTACTGCCCAGCTACACTGTTTCACAGCAGCCCCCTCCCCATTCCCTGCTCTGCTAGAGTCCCAAGCAACAGACAAGCGGCTTAGGGGGAGCCTCCCAACTATGAATGCCACTGAAGCCATAGCTCTGCAGGCTAAATCTGGCCCTGACCCCTGCACTAAATGATATCTTCCCTTTTTTCTCAGGTCAGGAATTGGAGACAGTGGTGCCTTCCACTTTTCTAAAATGCCTAATTATGTGAGGCCTTCGTTACAAAACAACATCCTACAACTTCTGTTTTGCTTTCATATACCTCCATGCAGAAGGGAGTCTGTTTGATCCCTTGGACTGTAGTTTCTCATAGATCCAAAAGACTGAATTATAATATTCCTCTTGTGGACATCCCTCCATCCAGCTTCTAAGTCCCAGCCCTTTTTCTCCAGTGGCTCTAATTCTGGGGTTTGTGAGTGATGTTAGGATGGGATTAAGAAGCAAAGAGGAAAATAAGCTCTCTTTAATATGTTGTAGCCAATTGCTCGATTGCATCCCCATCTCTGGTTCCTTTGCTGTTGGGTTTTAGACTCCTCAGCTGTTTAATAGCCCTCTGATTTTGGTGTTATTGGCAAACATTAAATCAAGAACATTTTCCACAAAAGAAACCTAGCAGATGTGAAACAGAGGCAGGGACTTAAGAGGGACTGACTTCTTTTTAGTAGGATAGAACCCTCGTGGGAACCATAAGAGTCTTGGACTGAGTAAGAACTAGCAAGTGGTTTAACTGCTTGACAGTTGCATCATTATTGGGACAGAAGACCACAGTCTGAGAATTCTTGAGGTTGGTCAGTTAGCTCTTGATTAAGGAGACTAAGAGGTAACTTTCTCTGGCTTTCCTCAGGGCATTTTCTATTTCCTTTAAGGAAGTGTGTAGTGGGGATTGCTTTTGTCCTTTTCTTAGCTCAGGTGTTTCCCTCTGATGAAGATTATGTATGATGATTATATAAAGAGTAAGTACTCTTCTCTCCCTCCTGAGATTCTGCCATGCTCACTAAAACAGGTTTCAGGTCTTGCTGTGACAGGGTTGGAAGCTTGCCACAGACTGAGCAGATTGTATGCCATGTAGCAAATGATGTTTCTACTTGAGGGATTTTGTTTCAAGGATTAGGGCATCTGAATAAATATTTTTTTTTACTTGGCTTTTTTTGTTCAATAGGTGGATATGAATCTGAATGAAGAAAAACAGCAACCTCTGAGGGAAAAGGACATAATAATCAAGAGGGAGATGGTGTCCCAGTATCTGCACACGTCCAAAGCTGTGAGTATTCTTGCTCTGAGTACAGAAAACAGTAAAGGAAGGGCACAGTGAAGTACAGGAAGAAGTACAAAAACATCCCTTGTAGGAGAAGTTTTTAAGTGGAATCTGGTATAACCCCCACAAGCATCTTGAACAAATGTGAAGGAGATGTACAGGAAAGGAAATGGCTCAGACCCTAACTGTTGTTAGATAGTGATATACAGCCTCTATGGCACTTAACTTGGAAAGTAAAATTGAACAAAAGTAAGTTTTCCAGTAAATTATCAGTGAAGTATGTACACCAGGAAGAAAGTAGCTCAAAATTGTTATTAATTTATATCTGTTGTTAGTTTGTCGCATCATTTTGGTTAATTTTCATAGTTTCTAAAGATAGTAGAGTGAACCAAGATATGGTAGGACCCAGATCATTCATATCCAGGTGGTTTGCAACCCAGTTGATACAGCAACCTGTTGCAAATTAAGGACAAACCTTTCAGCTATTTTCCTGTGGCAGTTACTTCAGAGTGCCCTTTCTTCACTCAGAGCACTACAATAGTATCATGCAGCTGGTCAGAGAAGCACCACCCTTTTAGAAGCAGCTGAAGTGAACAGCTGAGTACTTCCGTGATTTGCTGTGGCTCTGAGTACCCACAGCAGTTTTCAAATCCTCATCTTTACAAGAGAATTAGGAACCCTATGAATTATCCAGGTTCTACTGTATTCTGTGACTAAGTGTTAACAACCTGTTCTAACCATTTTTGTGAAATAATTATTTTTAAAAAATTCTGAAAACTTCTCTCATTTTTTAAAGTTATTTACTTTTTAAAAACACTCTGAAGAGCATCATGGTTGGTTTTTTGTGTGTCTTATTGATTCATGTTTATAAAGCTTTTGCCAAGAAAAAACTATGAGAATAGACAGAGGAATCATTGAAACAGACTATATGCAAAGTGGTGTCAAATTCTCCAAAAAAGGGGGAAAATATCAGTAGCCTTCTGTTATTGTACGTATTGGGTTTGGTTAAATATCTAGGCTGTTTTGTTCAACAGGTGGAGATAAATTAAGGTTTCTTGTTTTAAAGGAAAATAATCAGTTACTTTATTTTTATTTATTTTTGTTTCAATCAACTTTATAAAAAAAAAAATCCTCTTTTTTTTCCTGCAAAAAGCACTTTGTTTATGGAAAAAAGAACATTTTTACTAAAAAATTTCAAACAAAATTTTGATTGTCTCTCCTACATTTGCATGCCATAAGTAATCTGAGTATTTCCCCAAAAATGCTTCAAGTCAACATTGCCCCTCTATGGACAGCCTGTCATCAGTTATAAATGGTCTTTCATCATAAGCTGTTCTAAAAGAACTCTGGCCAAATGGAATAAGTAATGTATGTGATGAATCAGCCAAACTGTTTCTAAAACAGGGCTTGGTATGTATGCTTAACTTCAAAGTCCTTTTGAAGTCTGTTTTGTCAAGTCCTCTGTAAGTGGATTATACTCTAACGTCACATTTGAGATTTGAGGAGATCTATTGTGTAAGATTTTTAGACAAGGCTGTGAAGATTTTTCCAGACTTACATCCAAATAATTTTTGAATGTATGGACGTGTGACCAGGTCCTTGTGGAATTTTGTTTCTCAAATGTCTGGTGGGGATCTACACATCTATTAAAAGAAACCAACTAACTTCTTCAAACTTGCTAAGAGCCTCCAAGTCAACTGCTCATAAGAGCAGCATATCCTGCTGATGATACTGAATAACCTGAGCTCAGTCTTTAGTTTCCTTTTCCAGTAGTGCTTTCGTCTGGCTCTAGCCAGGCCGACCTGCCAGAACTCGGTATTTTCTCCTTCCACTCAATAGGGGACAGGCAACCACAGTTTTTTCATATCATGCACACTCCAAGTAGATATGTATCACAGCTCTTGCTGCAAGCACCTGCTCTAAAACTGAATATGGGTGAGAGAGTTTCAGAAATTCTTAAAATGATACAGCAGGAGTCAAATTCTTCTTGCTTGCAATTGTGCTGTACCCCCTGGGAGGAAGAGGGGAATGGGTTAAAAATTTCATACAGGAGCCCATGATTTAATCTTTTTATAGAATCTCAATTTTTTGTTTCTTGAGATGTTTCTTTGGTCCTGGTGGGTCCAGCAAGCTAAAGAGTAGGCAGTGGCCCATTCTCTCTCTCTCCCTTCAGAAACAGTCAGATTGCCTTCACCAGTCAGTTAGCATCTTGATTGGAAACTCAGAGTGAGGGATAAAAATGTGAGGAGACAGAGGCTCAGAAGAATAGCAGATGCTCTGAACTTGTCTGTCTGAAATGCAGGAAAAAGAACAAATTATTTGCCATGTTATACTCTTACCTCCCAGGCACATTGGCAATGCCAGTAAATAAAGGAGTCCTGAAGCATGTAAAAAAGACCAGTTATAGACTCCAGCCTCTATTTTCAGCAAAGTGATTGGGGATCAGGGCATGGATGTCCCTCAGAGAGAACAGGAGTGCTTTGTTTTCATGTATGGCTATTTAATGATCTTTGTAGCACAAAAGTCCAGACTGACAGGAGTAGTTAGATAGTCCTAAGGACAGAAATTTGAATCCACAATGGTGTCCAAGGCCTACACATTTCACATTAAATGACTTCTTGGTGGATCTGGCCCCAGGATCCTAAAAAGCTGAACCATCTGGCCAGGAGAGTTTACTCTTTGGCATCTCTTAGCCAGCTATCAAGGCCTGGTCACTAAATGTGAGTGCCTGACTTCAGCCAGGCTGCCACGGTTCCCCGGCAAGCTCTCGCAAGAATCAAAAGGTACATCGGGGATAGGTAATAGCTAGAATTTCCCTTCAGGAGCCTCTGATACAGGATCCCATTCCCTGACTAGATGCTGCTATCAGCATCATCTCTGATACAGTCCTCTGACATTCCTTAAGGCAGCAAGGGCCAACCTTTTTGGCACATGTGCCTCAACTTACATCCTGTGCCCTCTCTAGTGCTATTCCAATCCTCTTCCCCTGTCTGATCTTCTCTGCTCCCTGCTTATCTGTTGCTGTGTTCCCTGATCCCTCCTTGATCTGCTGTGCGCCATGCAAAGAGACTGCCCATGCCGCTCATGGCACTTGTGCTGCAGGTTGGCCACTCCTTTTTTAAAACATCTAAATAACCATTGAAAACCTTCCCTTTAAAAGGGCAGACCTATTTAGCTTATATATGGATGAGTTGTTATATACATTAAACCTATGGCTTGTGATCCAGATCTAGTCTGTAGAGCCATTTGAAGTGGTACACAGAGCTGGCTGGGCTTCTGCGCTTTGGAAGCATTTCTGTGTGGAGGGACAGTGGCTGCATGAGGTTGGAAGTGGCCCACACTCGGAAGTAAGCTCTGTTAAAGCAGCTCCCCACTGCAAAATGGTGCTGACCCGTGCCCTAAAGGACTCTTGAAGAACTATACACATGACTGGGAGAAACCATTTGGATACTAGAGTCAGTTCTTTCCCTTATTACTGGAGACCTGCATGTTGACCTCCTTATAGGAAGTCCCACTTCTGCAAGACAGCCCCATCCTCTTCCATGACTGCCCACCCTGCATCTTCTTCCCAACAGCAGGTTTAACATTCAGATTGAAAGGCCATTTTTCTCACTATATTTCTGGTTAGCTTCTATCCCATGTTTTAAGGCACAAGCTGGGATTACTTCAAACAGTACAGGAGCTTGTAGGTGCCATTATAAAATTGAGTGTGTGGTAAAGAAAAAGGGGCAAAGACTAAAACTATATGGAGTAGCCTTTAGTAATAAGCTGCAAGGGAAAATGCTGGATTTCTTACTTCATTTAGGAGCCTGTCACAGCTTGCTGTATGGTCAACTGTAGCAATTAAAGGCAAATCATGCCCCAGCTCCCTTCACAGTCCCCAGAGCTAACATTACTGTTAACACTACTGTTAGGGTGCTGAGGGAATCGGCAGAGGTCATTGCGAGACCCCTGGCACAGCTTTATGAGCACTCATGGTACTCTGGCAAGGTGCCAGAGGACTGGAAAAGGCCAGTGTGGTCCCCATTTTCAAAAAAGGGAGAAAGGAGGACCCAGGAAACTATAGGCCTGTTAGTCTTATCTCGGTCCTGGGAAAGGTCTTTGAGAAAATTATCCAGGAGCACATCTGCAAGGGACCAGCAGGGGAGATTATGCTTAGGGGCAATCAACATGGGTTCATTAGAGGCAGGTCCTATCAGACCAACCTGGTTGCCTTCTACGACCAGGTCACAAAATCCTTGGACGCAGGTGTCACGGTGGACGTAGTCTTTCTGGACTTTAGGAAGGCCTTCAACACTGTCTCTCATGCCATTCTCATTAAAAAATTAGGTGACTCTGGTATCGATGCCTACACAGTCAGATGGGTCACAAATTGGCTGGAGGGCCACACCCAGAGAGTGGTGGTGGACAAGTCATTTTCGACTTGGAGGTATGTGGGCAGTGGGGTTTCCCAGGGCTTGGTCCTTGGACCCTCACTGTTCAACATCTTCATCAGGGACTTGGACGAGGGGGTGAAAAGCACCTTGTTCAAATTCGCAGATGACACTAAGATATGGGGATAAGTGGGCACGGTAGAAGAGAGGGACAGGCTACAACTAGATCTGGACAGGTTACAGGGGTGGGCAGATGAGAACAGGATGAGTTTCAATACTGACAAGTGCAAGGTACTGTACCTAGGAAGGAAGAACCAGCATCATACCTACAGGCTGGGAAACTCCCTTCTCATCAGCATGGAGACAGAAAAGGATCTTGGAGTCTCTATTGATTCCAAGATGAACATGGGCCGCCAATGTGAGAATGCGGTCAGGGAGGCTAACCACACCTTGTCATGCATCCACAGATGCATCACAAGCAGGTCCAAGGAGGTGATCCTCCCCTTCTATACGACATTGGTCAGGCCACAGATGGAGTACTGTGTCCAGTTCTGGGTGCCTCACTTCAGGAAGGATGTGGACAACATGGAGAGGGTCCAGAGGAGGGCCACTCGCATGATCAGGGGGCAGCAGGGCAGGCCCTACAAGGAGAGGCTACGGGACCTTCAGCCTCCACAAGAGAAGGCTGAGAGGGGATCTGCTGGCTGTCTATAAACTTGCCAAGGGGTCTTTCCTGCCCATGGCAGGGGGGTGGACTTGATGATCTGCTCAGGTCCCTTCCAACCCTACCAACTATGAAACTGTGAAACAAATGGTGTACCTTTTCTACTGTGGATTAGACCCCCAATAGTCACCTTCCATTCTTCTCCCATGAAAGGAATGTGAACCCTCAAAAGTCCAATTTGAACCTTGCTTATAGGCATAACTTATTAATATAATCATAGCCATCTGCAGAATCTCTTCAAATGAGATATTTCACAAAACACCTTTATAGCAAGACAAGTCTTTGTATCACTGTCCTGCATCCCCACTTTCAATTATCCCCCTAAAACTTAACCAAACATTTTCAGTTCCTCTGCTTGTATTTTCAAGCTTCTTTCCCAGTGGCACTGTTTTGCAAATCTTGCAACTCTTCCCAGTGACCTTGCCTCAGGCATTCTGTGGCAGGGTTTTCTATAATGATCCACACCCTAAGCTCCTTCACCTGTGAGTCCTGCCCTGCTGAGATCATCTTCACAGTAACCTGTCTCCAGAATCAACCCATCTTTTCTTGGGGTAAGCCTGCCCTGAGTTGGCTCCTTCCTCTCTTTTTTCTGGGTCCTCCATATAATCCTGCTTAATAGGATTCCCCAGTGTTCTCTGTACCAGATCTCATCACTCCTTTCTGTTCCTCTTTTTCAAAATTACAACTCAGCTCTTTGTAATGGTTAGGTGACAACTATCAGATCCTAATATACAGCAACTAACCAGTCATGGATGAATTGGATTTCTTAAAGAATTCTTCCTCCTGTGACAGCCCATAATAGTGTCCCTGATGAGAAAGTGTTTCTGTTCCTGTTGTGGAATGTATCATCTTAGACCTGAAAGGCACAGACAGAAATGACAATTTTTGCCCAATCTGGCCATAGAAAGTAGTATATAGCCATGACCAAACAAGTGCACAGTTGCAAACAGCTTAAAAAATGGCCAGTTGGGTGCAAATCTGAACCCTCATTGCACGAGGGGTCAGGTGAAGACGTTTTAAAACAAAGTATTTTCTGTAACTTCTGTCTGCACTGTAAGTGACTAAACCATTTCACATACTGAGCTTCTAGTACTAAATGAAATCAGATGCTGAAGATTATTCTGTTTTATTTTATTTATATTACTTAAATGCACTAACTCTTTAAAGGGAAGACCTTGTCCTTAAGTCTGATTCCTTATCTGTGTGTGTCTTCACTCTACCTTCAGGTGGTCTCCTTATTCTGAGGTATACTTATCAGTTGTATTACTATAGGGCCTAAGACCTCTAGTCAGAAACCACGGCCCTGTTGAGTACCGTATCATTCCAGTTATAATTCAGCCTTTTTCCCATTTAAAAGGAACACTTGGAACAACTGGAACAATAAAGTACTATTTTACAAAGCACATGACCCTCTGTTGAAATCCTAAAGCCCACATGGCCCTTAACTGCTGCACAAAGTCATCTGCTTTGTCCTGTGTATTGGGGAAGGGCCACAATAGCTGTGTGAACCCAGATCACCATGACCCCACAGTTCCTATGGAACTGCTTGGTCTTCTCTACCAGAGTGGAAGGCAGGCAGGCTAAATCTCAGAATTCCTAAAAACCTGATGTCAGGTGAGGCTTCCAGACCCCTGGGTCCGTTGCAGGGAGCATGGAGCTGGGAAACCTTTGGTAGCAGCTCTAAACAGTTAATGTTGCAGGTTACTACTAGAACCACAGACCCAGAAGTAGCCTACAAGGTGAGATGACAAGAAAGCATGCAGGGTTCTGTTGGAAGCCTTTGTTTTTTGATTAATTGGAAGTTGGCCAAAAGAAATAGTGAAACATTTTGAATTTAACATAGTAGCATTTTACAACAAAACAGGAGTAAGAAAATTCTCCCAGAACTACCCACTTTCTCCTGTCCCACATCTCTCAGAAATTAGGAAAATTTGGAATCCAGGAAAAGTTAGGAATTGAATTCCTAAAACCAAGTGTTTGGATCCAGGATTTTGGCTGTATTTGTCAGTGAACTTTGAATCCACAGCTGCAGTTCAAATTGCCTTTTTAATATGAGCCAGTTTTTGTTTAAGCCTGTTGCAGTTTCTATTTAACTAAAATATTTGTCTTTAAGTATTGATGTGAGATTCTAGGCTGAAGACGATATGATGAGTCTTGGGCAAAATCTTGTCCAATACAGAGGAAACCATTTGTTTTTATTGTATTTAATTCTTTGCATCCTTTTCTTGATTATTTGATTCTTCTGTGAGATTTTGTAAGAGCAATAGCAGTTCAAGGACTTTATCTGTAGCTATTGATTTATATTTGGAGAAGGGAAGCTGTTTTTCATAACACTGAACCTGAAAATATGGGAGCAATTTACATGTAGTGTCAGCTTATAGTTGGAACAAGACTGTATTTCTTACATGAACCCCAAACCTTCAACTGCTTTTGTGTAAAGATGTGAAGAAACAGAGAAATTTTCATTAAATACTTTAACACTTAATTTTCTATGATTCTATGAACACAAGTTCAAACCGATGATATTAACTGCCATGCTGTATAAGAGTTCATGAAATGTTATGGGCCTCAGTGGGAATAATGTGTTAATGCCCAGGTTTAGTTCATTTTCATTAAATACTAATAGTGCCACCCAGGTAGAAGGAACTTGATTACAATGCACTTGGCTAAGTGAGGTTGCCTAGGTAGTATTTGGAAGAGAGAAAACATTTAAGTTATTTGTTGAAACTAGGGGCTTCTTGTTTTAACTGAATGTGACTTTCTGAAAGTTGGGTGAGTTAGTTTTGGGTCCTACATAAACAAACACTGCTGATATGTATACCCAAATGCTATCAGTTAAGAAAGATATGTTTTCCTGCTGGCTGGGCCAGAAGTTTCAGCCCTTTTTTGTTAATGTGAAATCAGTCAAAATAATCCTTTCACTCATCACCTCTAGGATTTACTTTTTCCAAGGTAGTCCAAGGATAGCATGATACAAATGTATAGATGTACCAAGGGCCACTGAGACAAACTCGGATCATACTCTACTTCAGCCTCACATAAATGGTGACAGACATCAATATCTCCCCTTCTATTCATCCATATAAAGTACAAAAATAATACCAAATAGCACCATCCTTCTAGAGAGCTCAGTCTGTCTTGCCTACTAAGAGAAGTCACAGATTGATTGATTAAAATACTAATACATACGTAGAGCATACGTGTGTGTGTGTGTGTGTGTATATGGACAATAAAAAGACAAAATCTCTTTTTTATGCTGCTATTAAAACTAGCTGAGCTGAAAATTGATTTATTTCTTCCCTGTGTAGGGTATGAATCAAAAGGAGAGCGCTAAGTCACCTATGATGTATATCCAGGAGCTGAAATCAAATCCCAGGGATGCCCAGCTGCTCAACTGTTTGGAGTCTCTGCGAGTGTCACTGAATAATAACCCTGTCAGGTAAAGGGCTGGCTGAAACAGAGGAGACCAGGCAGGGACCTGGAGATGTTAATAAGGAGACTGGTTCCTTGGCTGTTGGGAACTGTGGACAGTGCATTGAAAATGAGCAGAGGAGAGACAGGGCAGGAGGTGATTGAGAGTCTTGGAATGTCCCATCCTTCTTTGGGCTGCTGATATGACTATATTGTGTTCCTTACAGCTGGGTGCAGAATTTTGGAAATGAGGGCCTCACTTTCCTGCTGTCTATCTTAAAAGTGCTTCATGAGGAAAAGGATGAGATACCCAGGTAAGGGACTGACTGAGTAGGAACTGTTTATAAAACTGCTCATAAGACCCTGTCCTGCTGAGTTTATAAATAACTTATAGTCTATTTGGAGACTCATGAGGGTGTAGGGCACATATGGATTGGCTAATTGTGAATAAAGGCAACAGGAAGAAAGCAATCCTGGGATACCAATCTGCACTATGGGATTTGGGGGAGCCTTTTTTCTGTCTATTTTGAATTCAGGTATGGGTTGATTAGGGCAGAAGTTCAATGCAGCATTAAATACAAAAGACCTCATTTGGCTTCATTTGAGAATTGTGGGGTGACTGAGTTTAAGTTGATTACAAAGGTTGAGAGAAACTGTTCTAAACTCAAGGCACCTGTCCATAACTTTCATGAATTTAGCAGCATCCCAGGTGTGGAAAACTGTTGTACTGTCTCAGTTGACCCCCTCCTGCCACCGTCGCTTCCACAGGTGCCTCCCAGAAACAGAGATGCACAAGACCGTTTCACCTGGCTATGGTACCTGTGTCACAGCACCCTTGAAAGGGTCTTGCAGGACCCTGCTTGAGAACCACAGGGTTAGAATGTGAGGATCATTTTCATCCATGTGACTATAGTGATTGACAAAAAATGCAAATTGATAGATCTGGTTTCCCTTCCTTGCAGCTCATATGATACCCGGAATAAACATGAGATCATCCGGTGCCTGAAGGCATTCATGAACAACAAGGTGAGGCCCCTCTCCCACTCCAAGATGACTCTCTTCTGCCTCTTCCTTGTGTTCAGTGTGCCCTAACCTCATAAGATAGTCTTTTGAAACTGGGATAAAGGAAGTGAGGATGGAGGCTCCTAACTCTTCAATAAATTGTTGTCTTTACCAAAGTGGTGCACCTCAGTTCCCTTCCCCAGTGTTTTGGAATTCTCACTTTCCTTTTCTTCTTCTAGGGCTCCACTATTTTTCCTTCCATATTTCCATACTCTCCTTTCCAGACTTTTGGAGTTTGTTGTACCATATTTTTCTTTCTGTATTTTTTTTTCTCTTCTCATCTCCCTCCCATATGTAGACACTCCAAGAGCTGCTAAATTGCTTCCACTCTGTATCAGGCATGCCCCTGTCAACGGAATGCCCCTGTCCACATTCTCTGCCTTTCTTAATTAAAACTTGTGTGGAACTCCTACCTTCCCTTTCTATTTGCATACATTCTGAAACATCTAATACTACTCCTTTTAACTCACTCTGTTCCTCTGGTTATCCTCTTTATCCCTCCCTGTTACTTTATAAAGTCCTGCTCTGTCTCCTTTTAGTTCCATTTGATTATGGCCTTGCTGCATCCCCTCGCTCTCTTTTTGCTCCCATGGGCTTCCCGTACGACTGCCTCAACCCACACTGGGAATTGTGTCAGATCCCATTCAATGCCTTTCTCTGGCTGACCTTGACTCTGGCTGCTTTGAGACAGTCCATCTCCCATGCCTTGTCATTTTAGTGTTCCAGCTGCTGAGAGGATGAGACAGACATTGAGCAGATGTTTTGTCACTAACTCATCCTGTCTTCCCTTTCAGTTTGGTATCAAAACAATGCTTGAAACTGAGGAGGGGATCCTGCTGCTGGCAAGAGCAGTTGACCCCAAAGTCCCTTCCATGATGATAGATGCCATGAAGCTGCTGTCTGCCCTTTGTATCCTGCCTCAACCCGAGGACATGTATGTGGCTATGGGACTCATTCTACCATTCATCTTTCTTGAGCCTCTGACAATGATTTGGCTTCCTTTGGAGTCTCCCAACTGATGTTACCCTACAAACCTTTTATTTTATTTTGAAATGTCCATACTCCTGGTTTAGAGTGAGGGGCTGCTGATATCTTTTTCTGACTATTGCAGGCATGAGAGGGTTTTGGAGGCACTGACAGAACGAGCAGAAATGGATGAAGTGGAGCGATTCAGACCCTTGCTGGATGGTCTAAAGAGTGGAACTTCAGTGACGTTGAAGGTAATTTGCTATCTCAGACTGTGGGCACTCCTCTGGGCTGGGGGAGAGAGAGAGAGGGTTGATTGGTGCTAGCACTTCATCAGCAACTTGGACTGGGGGGGTAAAAAGCACCCTGTCCAGATTTGCAGATGACACTAAGATGTGGGGAGAAGTGGGCACGCTAGAATGGAGGAATAGGCTGCAGTCGGACCTGGACAGGTTACAGGGGTGGGCAGATGAGAACAGGATGGGTTTCAACACTGACAAGTGCAAGGTACTGCACCTGGGGAGGAAGAACCAGCAGCATACCTACAGGCTAGGGAACTCTGCTGGGCAGAGGCAGAAGAGGATCTTGGAGTCATTACTGATGCCAAAATGAACATGGGCTGACAGTGTGGGGACGCGGTCAGGAAGGCCAACCGTACTTTGTCATGCATCCACAGATGCATCTCAAGCAGGGCCAAGGAGGTGATCCTCACCCTCTATGTGACACTGGTCAGGCTGCAGTTGGAGTACTGTGTCCAGTTCTGGGCGCCGCACTTCAGGAGGGATGTGAACAACATGGAGAGGGTCCAGAGGAGGGCCACTCGCATGATCAGGGGTCAGAAGGGCAGGCCCTACGAGGAGAAGCTACAGGACCTGAACCTGTTCAGCCTCCACTAGAGAAGGCTGAGGGGGGATCTAGTGGCCATACAAACTAGTCGGGGGGGACCAGCAGGCATTGGGAGAGTCCCTGTTCCCCCGAGCACTACCAGGAGTGACTAGAAATAACGGTCACAAGCTGGCAGAGGGTAGATTCAGGCTAGATATCAGGAGGCACTACTTCACTGTCAGGGCGGCTAGAATCTGGAACCAACTTGCAAGAGAAGTGGTGCTGGCTCCTACCCTGGGGGGTCTTTAAAAGGAGGCTAGATGAACACCTTGCTGAGGTCACTTGACCCCAGTACTCTTTTCTGCCATGGTAAGGTGTCAGACTTGATGATCTGCTCAGGTCCCTTCCGACCCTGCCAACTATGAAACTGACAGCTGTCTCTACCAAGAAGGGGGCAGAGGGGATATATGCTAGCTGTTTGATATCTCTCCTTGATCATAATAAGATATGAGAGCTAGATGCTATCCACCTGATGTTTCCTTGTTTTTTGCACTATGCTAATAACTACTCAGATCAATCAGAGGTTTTTCTGGCACTTTGAGAGCCTGGCCAGGAGTTCTGAGTAAGGAATGGGTCTTGGATGTCTTATGCAGAAGCTTTCTGGTTTGTTTGTTTTTTTAGGTAGCCTGTATGCAACTGATCAATGCCCTGATCATCCCGGCTGATGAGCTTGACTTCAGAGTACACATTCGCAGTGAGCTGATGCGTTCAGGATTGCAGCACATCCTGAAAGTAAGGAGCAGTTATCCGTCCTGTTGTGCGGCCTTTACATTCAAAGAAGGGAGCAGCAGCTCCTGTCTCTCCTTTTTTGTTCATATTAGAGGTTCTTTGAACCATTCAAAAGCTCTAGGAGTGATAGAGCAATGCTGCTTTTCCCAGCTCTGTGCTGCAGGAATAGCATGTGCCACCTTACAACCCTGTTCTTGGGTAGTGGTTTCTTATCCCTTAGTTACTGCTTATGGATACGCACCTCTGGACATGGATTTTTACATTTTCACTTGGATGGTAAACATGGTCCTTTTGCTGGCAGTCTGCAATCATCTTCTCTCCTTGTGAACAAAGACTCACATGCTGAGTGGTAGGCTTCTCCTGTCTGTTGAGAATGCATTCTCTTGGGATCTCTAGTAGGCCGGTTTGCATATTAATGTTTGGTGCCCCCCGCCAGTGACATTATTATGTGCTGAAACATGCCTTCTAATTAGGTATGCTTCTGATAGGCACTCTCACATATTGTTGCAGGAACTGCGAATGTTGGAGAATGAGGAGCTGAAGGTGCAGCTTTCAGTATTTGAAGAGCATGGTGAAGAGGATTCAGAAGACCTCAGGAGTCGCCTAGAAGACATTCGCATTGAGATGGAATATCCTTTTTTAGCTTATTGGGTAAACAATAGGCTTGAGGCAGGAGCATTTCTACGGAGTTTCTTAGCTCAAATCCATCTACAGCAAGAATAGATAAAACTGAATGTGACATATGAACAGATTCAAGCCTTTCATTTGTTGCTAGTGAAACCCAGGAAAGTGTTGGAGAAGGGTGGAATCATTATATTGTCCTGTATCCAGTCTTTACTTGGGGAATACCCAGGCTCAACTCAGCCAATGCTATCAGATCACCTAGGTTCTGTAGTCTTTTTGGTTCAGAACTGCCCCACTGCTTTCTAGGATGCCTCAGGTCAATTGCGCAAAGTAAACATATTGGCAGACATACTGGTCCTCTACTTGGGATTTGACAGTTGATTAGAAAAAAGAATTAGAACTGATTTTGAATATTTGGGGAGTTTATGGAACACAACTTGTCTGATACTTCCAGAAGCCTCAAATTCAGATTAGACTTATATGGACAAAGTTTGTTTATAGTTTGAATATAAGGTGTGCAGTATATAAGTTGAGCTGTTTTGAAATTGGCCACCAGAGGGCACGTGAAAGAACTGCTGTTTTGCAAAAGCAGCAGAAATTTTTTCTTCAGTCTGTCCTGGCATGAAAACCTTAATAAAACATCCATTCCCATGCTTGAAAATGTTCCCCTTTGTATAAAAGGGATATAAATCTCTTAGCTATAGTACATTTTGTGTGTGTGTGTGTGTGTGTGTGTGCGCGCGCGCCATTAGTCCGGAGACTAGCTTTTAAGTAACTCTTGGAGACAAATGAGAGCTCAGGAACTACAGTTTAGATGTTAGTGAAAATATAAGGTAGTGGTAGCTGCTGTTGCTGTTCCTACTCCTCTTCCTCCTCACTCTAGATCATCTCCATTAGCAGGATAGCTGGCAAGATCACATATAGACAGGTGGTTGCTTAGGCCCCGTTTATGGGGTGTAAAGGGAGTGAGTAAAGAATCCTACTCCCATACCTTGCTGACCATTGATTCCTCCTTGGTAATAGGAGACCACAGCTGAAAATTCCCTTGCCTAGAAAGTGGCACATACCTGATCAGCAAATGGAATGACAGCTTCAGGAGGGTTTGTGCAACTCCTTGGGGGTCTCCCAGACATAAGAGATTGTGTATCTAGGTTTATAGACCCATACTTACTCCTCTGCCCAGTGTGTCATTCAGGCAGGTGCAAAAGGGGAATGTGCAAGTGGATTGCATACTTCTTTCAGTACTCCCTGCTTCAAGTTGCACACATTCTGCTGTTTTTTCATGCAGAGTGCTACCCTTTGAGGGAGGAAGGGCAGATACCTCAAACTGGGGACTCTGTGTTACTGTTTTGAGGTCCATAGGAACCGGTACTGAGAAACGAAGTACCTGCTCTCTTGTAAGGTGAGAAAATGAGTATCAACAAACTTAATTTCTCCAGTATGGCGATAGAATGTCAACTAGTGAAGATTGGTTGGGTTTTAAAAAGTCTCAGAGAGAAGAACTCTGCCACCCTTCTTGGCCTGTGATACGTCTCTTCCCTATGCAAAGGTTTTTTTAATGAGAGAAAATATGCATGGATGAAGTTATGGATGACACTGAAAAAAATCAATTCCTGTCTTTAGAGAGAGTCGACAGGGCACTTGTGTATCTTTCCAGAGACTTTGATTCCTTAACCCTTTGTTCACTGATTTCAGTGATGTCTTCCAGATACTCCTGAATACAGTAAAAGATTCCAAAGCAGAGCCATTTTTTCTTTCTATCCTGCAGCACCTTCTACTTATCCGCAATGATTATGAAGCCAGGTGAGGAAAGGTCCTTCACTCTAAGCCATCTAGGATGAATGCTGGCAATGTATAGGGATCTTAGTCACTTTATTTGGGGGTGGGGTGATAGTTGCACAGAAGACTGTTTAAAATGTTCTGATAGTCCCAGGGTAGGAGGGACGTATGAGGTCGCTGATGCATCTTGTTAAAAGATGATGCATCACTATGAGACAGGCAGTACTTGGAAAAGGCCTTTTTTCATAAATACTCATGTTCTTGGTTAGGGACACTGCATGAAGATGGCAAGCACCTCCAGTTCAACATTATGATGATCCCTGCCATAAGCTACCTGTAGGGTGAGTGGTCAGCCAATCAACACTGGTCTTAAAGCTACAGGAGTTCAAGGAGGAAGAAGAGAAACTGAAAAAACCCCACTATAAGCAAATACTGGAGGGAGGAAGTTTGAGCACATCTGTTGTTATAAAGCCTCTCTAAACCACTTTCCATATTTGATGATTTTTGACACGAGTCTTGATTTTGACTCTGCGAACACAAAGTTGCAGAGAATGACAGAAGTATGAAAGTCACTGTCCATAGTCCCTTCAAAAGTTTCCAACTGAAAGGCTATGAAAAATAAAGATGAACTTTCCTTAGGCTCATTGTTTTCTTAAGCTTGTATAGCCAAAGAAAATTGTTTCAGCAACAGTGCTGAAGAAAAGATGCCAAAGAATCTGAGGGATATCCAGCATGGATTTGTTACGGGTAGGTCTTGCTTGACCAATCTCATTTCCCTCTATGACCAGGTGATGTATCACCTGGACAAAAGGGAAGAGGTTGATATCATATTTGGATTTTAAAAAAGCCTTTGACCTAGTGTCCCATGATGTCCTCCTGGAAAAATTGGACAACCGTGGCCTAGACTACTCCACAGTCTGATGGCTGGGGAACTGGCTCCGAGGTCGGACCCAGAGAGTGGTAGTTGACGGAACCAAATCATCATGGCACTCGGTGACCAGTGGCATCCCCCAAGGCTCCATTCTCGGACCTGTACTCTTTAATGTCTTCATAAATTATCTGGATACTGGTGTCAAAAGTGGACTGGCCAAGTTCACTGACGACACCAAATTCTGGGGAAGAGTGTTCACACTTAAGGATAGGCTGGTAATCCAGGCTGACCTCGATAGGCTTGCAAGGTAAGCAGATGAAAACCTGATGACATTCAAATATGGAAAATGCAAGGTGCTCCACCTTGGAAATAAAAACCCGCATCACACTTATAGGCTTAGCAATGCTGCACTCGCTAGCACCATGACTGAAAGAGACTTGGGGAGTCACGATTGACCACAAAATAAATATGAGCCACCAATGTCATACTGCAGCTGGCAAAGTGAACAAAACTCTGGCTTGCATCTAACGATGCATCTTGAGCAAGACCCAGGATGTGTTATCTTCCCACTGTATTTGCCATTGGTGAAGCTGCAGATGGAGAACTGCATCCAATTCTGGGCTTCACAATTTAGGAAGGACATAGAGGACCTTGAAAGAGTCCAGAAGAGAGCCATGCGCATGATCAGAGGGCAAGAGAACAGGCCTTATGAAGAGAGGCTGCGAGCTTTGGGACTCTTCAGCCTGGAGAAGTGCAGGCTCAGGGGTGACATGATGGCAGCCTATAAGTACATAAAGGGTGTGCATCAGGATCTGGGGGAACACCTGTTCACCAGAGACCCTGAGGGATGACAAGGTCCAACGGTCACAAACTGCTGCAAGAACATTTTAGGCTGGACATAAGGAAACATTTCTTTACGCTCTGAGCCCCCAAGGCCTGGTCAACAGACTCCCCCTAGAGGTGGTGCAGACACCTACTCTGGATGCTTTCAGGAAACGTGGATGCTTATCTTGCTGGGATCCTTTGACCCTTGCTGGCTTCCTGCCCCTTGGGCAAGGGGCTGGACCCGATGATCATACGAGGTCCCTTTCAGCCCTAATGTCTATGAAATCTTGTCAGTAACACTTGAGTGTCTCATGAAGGGCCAAAACCAAACTGAAATCCCTGGAAAAGCTTCTGAAGGTCATGTTAGCTTTGAAGAGAAGCACTGCCTGGGAACTTAAGTGGATGGTCATAAAACCCAGCCAGGAGAAAGTTACAGGAAAGTGTTGCAGAATTTTTTTTTTCTTTGAAAATCTAAAAACAAATCTTACAAATTCTGTTGGCTTATCATAGATACAGATTTTATTCTTTGTTAATAAATGTTAAGGGGTTGCTGAGATGCTTTTGTTTCAAATAAGAGGGCTTCAACCTGTGAAGGTTGAGAAACACCGTTCTATAGCAAGGAAGATGCATTTTATTAAGAGTGGACTTGCATATAACAATTGCAAGAGACAGTTATCAAGGTTGTAACCTGGCCAAATATCTCTAGCGCATGTCACTAGGCACAGCAGTATTCATACTTTAGATGTGATGTCACCATGATGTGGTGTTAGCTTTGCTTGTTCCACGTGTGCTAGTTTCGAAACAAGAACTAATGTAGCTTGGCTAGTGTGGTATTGCACACCTCAGCAAGTTCTATTTCAAGACAGACTGTTTTGGTGTGTACATGGCACCACATTAATATGGCAACACTGCTTTGTGTTTGGGAGCTGGTACGTGTGGAGCATGTAAGATGTGTGTCAACACAGAATTGTCTTGTGCTGTGTGAACAGCCCCTTAGAAGTAAACTTGTAATCTGAAGCCAATTTGATACCATATCGTATTGGCAGGCATACTTCAAGAATACCTTGGTTTCTTTTTCATAATGCACTGGTTACAGTTGTTCAGGTACTGAAGGTGGAATGAGGAGCATTATACAAGAGATGCAAGACATGTGCAGCCATCTGAAAGAACCTGGCTGGAGCTTCTAATTTATCATGAGACTATTTATACCCAGAATTTCACTGAACGACACAGAAATAATGACATCTGTAAGCATGGGTGTGTAACTACTATTGCTGAGAGAGACAGGGAAACCATGCTGAGAAGGGCAGGCATCTCTTATGTAGTGAAAAAGAAAATATAAAGAGAAGTGTGATAGAGATAAAAATTGAAGAAAAGGAGGATGCTGTTGAGATGGACATGAACAAGATGGGAATAAGAACAGAAAGGTGCCCCTGATTGGAACAAGTGAAGAAGGAGATCTGAGTAGATGAGCCTGCAAATGAATGAGAATAAAGACTGAATTGAGATAGGAGGAGATTATTTATGCCCAGGAGAAAAATAAACAAATCTTGATTGTGACCTATGGCATTTGGTATCCTTTAGGAACTCCTTTGTCAAGACTTTTATTCTAAGTATATTTATCATCAGATATGTTTAAAAATCTCAAGTGAGTTTGCCCTCAAAGTTTTTGTTTTCTATACTGTATAGAGGATTTGATATTAAGTGGTTTAATGCAGATAAAAGACAGGGAAGATATGCATCTTTATAGATTACATAAGATGGATATATATGCACACAGAGAGAGCATAAGTTTTTATGATTACAAGTTCACTTCCTCAAATGCTATGTAGATAAACCATTCTAACTAGTTATTCAGATTTTTCAGTAAACAACTTTTTATCTCCCCTTCAGTATCAGTGGGGAGTCCACCTGCTTTAGTCTATTGTAATAAATTGTTTTTAGCCTCTGGTGTAATTGCTTATGTTTTAGGTCATCTGTACGGTTTTTGGAAAAAAGTACATTGAGAAAGGGAATTCATGTTAATATATCTATCACACTTGAAGATGATGAATTCTAGATACACTCTTATAAAAGTAGAGAGAGGTATAGATTAAAGAGGAGCAGATGGAAACAAACCACAACAATTACCTTGTTAACCAGCTTCATGCCCCAACTAAAAAACAAACAAACAGTTTTTCAAACTCACTAGGGGTATTGTTTCTTTTTTTGGGGAATAGAAGAAAATTCTGTTGCCAGCTGATGGTGTTAATTTGTCAGGAACAAGAGAGCTCTCAGCCAAGGAGGCAGGAACCTGATGATGATCTGAGGGTAAAAAGACAAAGTAATTTATAGTGTTTCTGTGTAAAGCTGAAAGGGCTAAAGGCCAAAAGTTGTGAGGATGATAGGTAAGATGAATCAAGGAATAGATGCTTGGGGGTGTATCCACAATGCCCTAAATGTGTAGTGTGTTATAGTATAGTATGCTGATCCCTGTTATAAGCAGCTTCCAGAAACAAATTACGTTGCATACCAGAATGTGCATTACCTGGAAACTGAATTTTGCATCTGGTATCAAATTTTGCTGTTCAAATGTACTTAATTGCTGAACATTTTATATATCTCATTGCAAGGGGCCCTTGTTTGCTTAATTCCTGGTGTTTGCAGAGACATCTTTCATGGAGCAGTGTGAACACTTCATTTCCTTTTCTTCTCCTGATATAGGCCTCAGTACTACAAGCTGATTGATGAATGTATTTCCCAAATAATTCTACACAAAAATGGTGCTGATCCAGACTTTAAATGTAGGCATCTTGCCATTAACATTGAGGGGCTAATAGGTAAGTCATGTAGCTGTTGATATCACAGTCAGAAACAGCTTGTACTGTTTATAGTTCTGGAACAAACTCTTGTCTTTCATTTTCCTCAGCTGTCTTTTCAGTTGCTGACTCTCGGATCTTCTTGCCTTTCTGTTCTTCTGGTTTTCCTTCCTTGAAAAAGCTTTACCATTAGATTCTGTTGGTTCCCAACCCTTTTTTTCTTGTGTGTGTGTTTTTTTTCCCTGCCCCCATGTGCTTTGTGCATTTGGAATCTGGATGTGGGTCATTTCATTTACATAACTGTTCCTTAGAGCTTGACTTTCACGGTCTCCTCTGTTGTGCCCTGCTGGGGCACCTTCCTGCTAGATTAGAAAACAGATTAAATTGGACTTCTGAAAGAAGTGGTGGGGGGCGGTGTTGTGTTTTGGTTTTTTTTTTGTTTTTTTTGTTTTTTTTATGAGCCATAGTGAATAGAATTGTCTATCAGCAGCATGGGATTCTATGAGCATTGTATTGCAAGATGGAAAGGGTTACTGGGGAAAAAAGGCAAACACTAGCAATGTTCGTATACTGCATTGAGGTAAATGGTAATGGGAGTAAAAAAGGTCTACCTGTAGCAGGGACACTAAGGATTCTTACCATATTTGGAAAGGATTATTACCATATTACCACATTTGTTCACTATTGTGTTCTTAAGTGCGCTTTTTCTTTTTGTAGATAACCTGATTGATCAAACAAAGGTGGAAAAAAGTGAAGCCAAAGCAGTAGAGCTGGAGAAAAAGGTGTCTGAGGGGGAAGGGGATGAAAGGAGAAAGGGGCATCTTGGACCCTGAGCAATGCATTATAATTTGAGATTGGGCTGAAAGTGCTAATCAGATTCTTTCCCCTGGCTCTGCATATATGGCTGTTAAACACAGCTCAGACCACATTACACTTAATCTTTATCACTAAGGAGATGCCACATGTTTATTTTTTACATTTAAAAAAGAATATCATTGTTACAGAGAATTAGATCGCATTTGTGGACCATCATGTTTCACACCCACAGTTTATAGTCATGTGTAGGTCCTCTGATTGGGGACAACTGAAGTTATGATTGGGATGTAATTAAAATACTCAGTTTCTGTCACTGCCATGCAGTTATTTTCAGAACATGCCAAGAGTTTGTAATGCATTTTCCCTTCTATGAAAGGTGCATTACTATTTATCCCATTGCAAATGTGAACTATTTCACTTAAAAGTCCTGTCCTGGGTCCTGTGCCTATCTGACTGGATGGTGGAGACTAGGAGCATTTTTCTCTTCTCTTGGATTGAGTAGTGACATGTATCTTATCCTCCTGCAATATGAAGGGATTTGTGGGGGGTGATTATGGACTTTTGAGAGAGTTGCAGGGGAAGCCAGAAGAATCATGCCATTCCCTGACCTATAATTTCCTCTCAGCTGGACTCAGAGTTGACTGCACGGCAAGAACTGCAGGTTGAAATGAAAAAGAAGGAAAGTGACTTTGAACAGAAACTCCTTGAATTATGTAAAGAGAACCAGACACTAGACATGGAGAAACAGCATATGGCCACCGAGAAGCAGACTCTGGAAAGCAAAGTTTCTGAGCTGAATGAGGAGGTAATGTTCCAGTTGAGATCTGGGTGGGGCCATATGGGCTACACTGCCATATAGTACTTCTGCTCTTTCTTATGTTTAGGACTTCACACGGTTACCTGAGATGAGGTGCTTCTTTTGAACTACCAGCGAAAGTCCTGGAGAGCTTTATTTTTAAAACGCCCTTATTTCTAACCATGTAGTTGACTAGGAAACTAGAAACTGCACTTTTTTTCCAGGAATCTTCACTTGGGTTTGTCTGCCTACAAAGCAGCTTTCTAGCTCTGTACCACCTTTTTTCTTAGTAGCTCATTGTTCTGATTGTAGTCAGGCATCCCTATTTGGGGGTCTCGGTGATCCTCCAGACTCAAAGGGCAGAATCTCTGGAGCAAAGCAAAGGTTTGGTGGCCTTTCCCACAGGAACATCTTTCTGAGGTGCAAACAGTATTTTGGGTAGAATAGATTATTTTCTCATTATTATCCCCTAATTGGACTTAATTCCAGCACAGACTAATTTGAAACTAACACTTTTCAGTTTAATTCTCCTCTTGCTTAAATTCAGGACCACTGTGCAGTTCTTAAGCTCTAGCTGAAGCCCTTTTTGTTCATAATTCCATCACATTTATACAACAATGTAAATTGCAGCAGAGTGGACACATGGTCAGTTATTCTAGGGTAGCTGCTTCTGAGTTGGTACTGTTACAGCATCTTGCCACTAGGTGCAAAAAAGCCAGTAAAAGCCTGTATCCTATACTAGCAAATTGACTGCCCTGGGATAAACTGATAGTTCTGGACGCACAACTTATCTTGGTGGTGTAGTTTTACTCCATGTTTCCATGGTAGTTCTATACTAGTTTCAAGTGCATTACACTGATGTAAGGCTGTGTGTTTTGTGTCTGCATTTTGTTTAAACTGGTGTAAAATTTGATTACATCAGTGTAAGTGTGTTTTGTCCTAGCCTTTTGTACTATTTTACTATTGACAATTGTTATTACAAGTTACTATAACATTGTATGATCTTTCACTCACTTTCCAGCAGTTAAGTGTACAAATGGAACAGACCACAATTATCACAACAGAGTTCAGGACTATCATTGAGCTTTGTTTTAGCGGTGGAGCTTTTTATTTTTCTGGTATTTAATATGGCTTGCATTGTGTACTGTAGCCAGTAAGAACCTTCTTAAAAGGCACTAGGGTCACAAGAGCGTCACTTTTTCCTGTTTCCATTTGGTCATAGGACTTACCGTATTTACCTGAATTCAAGATGACTTTGAATTTAAGATGACCCCTCCATAATTAGATTCTACACATGAACAATGTACAAATGTTATAATTTTCCATGTATAGAATTTAATTATTTGGGGTCATCTTAAGTTTGTCCCACCCCCACCCCCCACTCTGCTGCAGGGGGGCAGGCAACAGGGTAGGTGGGGAGGGGAGGCAAGCGGCCTGACTTGCCTTCTGTGGCTGGTTACCTTCCGGCTCTGCCTCTGCTCTAGCCTAGGTCACAGAGCACATGGTTGATCTGGCCCCCACCCTGGAATGCAGCAGTGTTTGCTGCAGCAGTGCAGGGCCCAGATCCAAGACTGGAGCTGCCATCACTACCACCCCCACCACTACTGCTGCCTGGCTGGGCAGGGGCCAGAACAAACGTGCTCAGTGCCCCAGGCTTGGAGTAGGGCAGGGGCCAGAGCCAGAGAGTGAGCAACAATGGGGGGCAGAGGTTGGGGGGGTAGGCAGCAGGAGCAGAGGTGGTAGTAGGGGTCAGCAGCTGTGGCTCTGAGACTGACTCAGAGCCCAGGTTGGAGCCAGAGTCCAAGCTACAGTAGCCACTCCCCCACAAACAAGGGGCGTTTTTCCACATGTTAAGTGGGGTGGGTGGGGGAGGGGTGTAACAGATCACCCTCCCCAGCCATCTTCCAGGTCATCCACGCCTTAAATGGGGCACCCTTGGAGTCCTCTTGAACTTCTGCTGTCCCGCTCTAATCTCACCTGCCACGTCTTGATGGAATTAGTATACGAGCAGGAGACTGCCAATTATATTGGGTATGTTGGGGTCTCTCCTATGATGGTCTGACCCCCTTTTTCTCTAGCTAGGCCTCTCTATCCAAACCCACCAAACAGGGTTGGACTCCAAGGCTCTAGCTCTTCCTTCCAGTGCCTGGAGGCTCTTGGCCCCCTTTTCTGCTCCTTTCTGGGGCACAGCACCCCCTGGCCCAAAGGCACGCACACCGGTCCCCCAGCCAAAGGAGTCACAAGTTCAAAACCCAGGTGTGACCCCACCTGTCCAAACAGCAGAAAAATATACACTTGCACCCCCCGCCAGGTGCTCCAGGCCTCCCTGGCCGCCTTAAGATCGTCCCAAAATGGTGCCCTTACTTGTATTTGGACTCTCTGCAGCTCTGTCTCTCTCTGTGCCTCACTGGCGCCAGGGTCTATACCCCCCCAAAAGCTGCACCCTCACTAGCATTGGGGATCCCACTCTGGAGTGGGTCCCCAAATTGAGGCCTCCTGCAACCCCTAATAGCCTCACCCAAACCACAGGTCTTATTCCATCATTAAAAGAAAACAGATAAACAGTCCTGTTTGTGGGCAGTATCTGCCACCCCAAAAATGGGAATAAGGGAAGTGGTATGTCAGCTTACAGTTGCAGGTTTATGTTTCAGCTCCCCACCATCAGCTCCAGTCCTTGCTGCAGTGCGGCTGTCATCTCTCCAGGGCTTCTATAGTTCTCCTCTTCCTGGCTTTGGACTTCCCACCAAGCTTGTCCCTGGAGCTCAGAGATGTGCTCCTTCCCCCCTGGCTGCTGACCTTTGCTGTCATTCAACCCAGGGTTTTTATAGTCCTGCCTCTTCCGGTCAGCTGACTTCATCCCAGTTCAGCAGTTAACCCCTTCCTCCCCATCCCTCTGTGCCCAGAAGGTTCTGGCCTTGTAGGGGCGCACCTTCTTCCTTGTGACTGGGTTAGGGTTCCCTGTGACAGGGGGACAGGATCTTGTCTTGGATTTGAGTAAATATGGTATATCCACTGTCTTGCTTAAGGAAATGGGAAAAAAATAAGGGAGCAGCATGTAGCAAGGCTCCCGTTATACTCCTTCACTTTGAAGGCACTGCTAGTATCCTCTTGGAGGAGGGGGCAAGAAATTACTATTTCCACAAATTGATACTTTTGAGACCAGTTGGTTTGAGACCAGTATCCTTTCTGCCCTCCTGGACTGGGAGTGAAATGGATACTCCAGTGTAATGCTGAGTAACGTTTGTGTTTTTTGGTTTTTTTTGCTTGTCTTCTACAGATGTCTAAGTTGTCAAAGGAGCTTGAGGATACTAAGAAGGAAATGGCTTCCCTCTCTTCTATATCTGCTTTACCTGCTCCTGTACTCCCTGGTTCAGCTGCTGTACCCCCTTCCCCACTTCTTCCTAGTGCAAGTGGGATCCCACCTCCCCCTCCACTCCCTGGCGCTCTTGGCATCCCGCCTCCCTCTCTGCTCCC